AAATCAGATGGTGAGGGGGATGGAGTACCTGTATAGGGTCTAACTTAGAGCAGTCAGACCTGTGTGTGAACTGGTATGAGTTGGATTTCATGGGCTATATGCAGGGCAGAGCCTGGTAACATCTTTTTCCCAGGGAAGGACCCTAAAGACCATGAGAAGGAGAATCTGAGGAGGATCAAGGAGATCCAGAGGCGCTTCCGTGAGCAGGAGCGCAGCCGGGAGCAGGGCCAGCCCAGGCCCCTGAAGGCTCTTTGGCGCTCGCCCAAGTATGAAAAAGTTGAGTCCCGAGTCAAGGCCCAGCTGCAGGTAACTGCCCCAGGGAGCCAGAAGTATTGTCCATCTTATTTGCTGGGAGTCAATTATACCCTGATCTGAGTTATGGGGAGGGAGGAAACTCCCAGGACTAAGGTAACAGGAGACTAAGAAATAGCTGGTTCTGTTGCAGGGGATTCTCAGAAGTGGTGATGGCTGGGTGTTCCTGAGGGGCAAGTAGGAATTAGGCCAGGGGAGAATGGAAGAGAACATTCTTTATAGATCAAACCTCACAGGTAGAAGTCCTAAGATTAGAGGGAGTGTGGGCAGTGGGGATGCTGTGTACACTTTACTGTGAGGGGATAAGAGCATGAGGGTAGGCTGAGAAATCAGCTGGGCCCATATGAAGAGCCCCATAACCCACTTTCCAACCTTTATTTCTACGGGCAGTGGGAAGGTCAGGGACAGGGGTAGGGTGGTGGGATTCTGTCTTGAGTAGATAGATGGTGGCACCATTTCTCTATCAAGGGGAAGATCAGGATTGAGAGAAAAGACAATAAGGTTATCTGGGGATGTGTTGAAGCTGGAGCATTTGTGAAACTCCCAGGGGGTGGGAGTGTGTCCAGGAAGCAGCAGATGGAGAATCAGGCCTGGATCTCAGGAGTGAGACCTAGGAGTTATTGAGGATCAGGCTGAGGACGATGAGACTAGGGAAATGACCCTGCATTTGCGGGCTTGGAAGCCAGCTGCCAATGACCTTGGTGGGGACATATCCAGGAAGCTTGGCTAGGAAGGAGAGAAAAGAATGGTAGCTGGAGCCAGGACTGAGGTAGGAGGGGTGGTTTGTTGTTAAGGATGTGAGAGACACACATGTTTAAATGCTGATGAGAAGTGCTTTTTTAAGAGGGAGGAGGCCCAGAGGGCCGGGGATAGAGGCTCGGTTTTGAGACCTTGACCACAGCCTGACTGATCCCTTTTCTATGCCCTGCCCTCCAGGAGCCTGGCCCTGCCTCCAGGACAGAGACTGTGCACTTCCTGCGGGCTCACTCTCGCTGCGGTCCTGGGCTCCCACCACCCCGTGTCCCCAGTCCCCAGCTAACCCCACCAGACCCCAATGCCAAGGTGAGAGTATGTGTGGGATAGAAGGTGGAACAGGGATCCTGGGGGTTCCAGGGGAACCACTCAGTGCTGTTTGCCCATCACGTTTGCCATGTCCTGCAGGAGCCAGGCGTAGGTGTGGACTTCATTAGCCACAATGCCCGCACTGCCAAGAGGGCCCCCAGGCGGCATTCCCGCTCGCTGCAGGTCCTGGCACAGGTGCTGGAGCAGCAACGGCAAGCCCAGGAGCACTACAACGCCACACAGAAGGGCCACCTGCCCCATTAGTAGGTCCCACTGCCCAACACCCAGGGTGAGGGATGCCTGTGGCAGGTGGGAGCCAACGTCTGCCCTGGGATTATCCACCTGAATCTGTGCATCCACAGCTTGTTGGAGCGTAGGGATTTGTGGCGTCGGGAGGCTGAGGCCCGCCAACTTAGCCAGCCGGACCCTGCCATGCCCCCTGGTCACACTCGTATGCCTGAGAACCAGCGTCTGGAGACACTGAGCAATCTGCTCCAGAGTGAGTATGTGGGCATTCTGCTCCAGAGTGAGTACTGGACTGGATGAGGACGCACTGAGGACCTTGCGTTCCTGCCTAATACTGTTTCTGGGCCCCCTGTAGGCCAGAGCCAGCTGCTGCGTGAGCTGGTGCTGCTGCCTGCCGGGGCAGACTCACTGAGGGCCCAGGGCCACCGTGCTGAGCTGGACCGGAAGCTGGTACAGGTAGAGGAGGCCATCAAGATCTTTTCCCGCCCCAAGGTCTTCGTGAAGATGGATGCTTGAGCCCTTTTACAGGGGTAGTGACGGGTCCTAGCTGAGGATCATTGCATGGTTGCAAGGACAGGGTCAGGCCCATCATCAAGTCTAAAGACAGGAGTAGTGTGGGGGGGGTGTGGGGGTATCCCCAGAGCACTTTTCCTAGCCACTGGTGGCTGCAGAAGGGCCATCCTAGCCCAGCCTCTTTACCCCTTTGTCAAAATTAAATTTTTTTGTACACAGTGGGGTTGGTATCCTTAAGAGCTTTTCTTACCCTGTAAATTCTAACCGTGGTGGCCCTCCTGCTGCTCAACTGCAGGAAGGTCTCTCTGCTGCCCTTATCACTCCGGCCTCATGTCCAGGGCAGAAGGCAAGGCTGTGGGATCAGGGAGGAGGCTGGGGCTGGGACACAGAAGGACCGTCACTGCATTTGTAGAAAACCTTTAATGTTCCCCATACTGAGAAGGCCCTATGAACAAGCTAAAACCCCACTGAGGAGTCCCCTGGAGTGGCATGGACTGCTTCCTCGTGTGTCAGAGGCTGAAGCCACTACCATCTCCTCGCATGCTACTCCCCCAGCCAGAGTTGGCTTGCTCCTGATTGTCCAGGGATGGCAGAGAGCTGCGGGCACTTGGACGCAGGTGGCCTGGGTGCAGGTCCCAGCACGGAGAGCCCTGAGACAGCCCATTGGAACAGGGAGGCTGGCGGTTCTCAACGACCAGATCACTACTGTCATCATCGCTCTCCGGCTCAGCAGGCCCAGGCCCGACAGAGGGAGGGCCTGTCAGACGCCCAGATGCCCCACGCACCACATTATTGCGCTGATTGGCTGGCTTGACAGTGACGATGAGGTTGTGGCTGTTGGCGACCATCATATCTGTCACTTGGTCCAGGGTCTTCCCAGCCACCTCAATGCCATTGACTTCGAGGATCTCATCACTGACTGCCAGCAGCCCTGTACTCTCAGCCAGGCCCCCTCGTACCAGGCGAGAGATGAAGATGCCTGGGACACGTTCCAGGCCCTGGGGAGCTACACGAACGCTCATGCCATCTCGGATGTAGAAACCTAGTGGGCGGTCAGAACCGTGCTTGTGCAGCCGCACAACGCCGGTGGGTCTCAGGCAGTAGGTCCACATCTATGACTGAAGAAACCTGGCGGAAATCTTGGGGCAGGCTGATTAGGAGGGGTGGCCGGGTGCGCAGAGGTGCCACTGGCCGAAGTAGGAGCCCCTTCTTACGCCGCTGCAGAGAGTTGGAGGCAAAGGCTAGGACGCTGGAGTCAGCTTCTGGAGAGGGAGACACTGAGATCAGAGACCCTGTTCTCCCTTTCCCCTCAGGCCCAGACAGGGGGAAGGGGACACTATAACTATTTCCTACCACCTGGAGGTCAGCCCAAGGGCAGGGATTGCTGAGGGTGAAGCCTGAACACCCTGGGCATGAACTTAATCCCTGTAGACCTGCCCTGTCACCCTACCCCACAGAGGCTGCCCACTGTACCCCATTCTCCTCACCCCGCTTCTGCACTAGCAGGCGCAGCGGCTGGGGCCCACTGGTCAAGGCCCGGTGCAGGCTGTCGTCGTTGGTGAGAGGCAATAGGTCGCCGTGAGCATCTGTATAGCCAAGCAGCACATCCAGCCCCGGGATCTGATGCACCGCACGCAGTAACCTCGAGAACTCCTGGAAGCCGCTCACAGAAGCGCGGGGCAGCGCGAAGCGTCGGAACTCGGCATCAAACTAGAGGCAGGGAGTGGGGGGAGAGGAGGGGTCAGGAGGGAGCCTGCGTCCTTTCTCACCACAGGTCGAGGAGTGGCAGGGGTGAGAAAGCGGGCTGCGGCAACAGCTGCAGCCTAGTGCCCAGACCTCAGCTCCAGTACAAGGGACGCTGTCCAAGGTCTTCTCCCCGCCCTCCAGGTAACCCAGGCCACAGGGACTCCAGAGGCCGGCAGGGAAAGGAAGAAGGATGGGCGCGGGAAAGCGAGAAAAGCCAGAGAATGGGAAGTGAAGGATAGTGGAGAGAAAAAGGTGGCGGGACCAAGGAGCCAGGGAGGGGAGAATGAGGGAATTGGAAGCACCTAGAGCCGAAGCCGGAGCTAGGACTGGAGGGGCCCTTACTTTGCTCTTCACCTCCACGATGCTGTCCGGACTGCGCGCCGGGGTTCTCTGTGGCCTGGCCATGGCGGGGCCGGGCGGGCCCGGGACCCTGCGCCAGGCGGCCCCGCAGGTGCACAGCCCGGCCGCCCGGCCGGCCCGCGCCGCCCCGCCCCTGGCGGTAGCACTCGCCCCGCCCTCCCATCCAGACCGTGACGTCAAGGGGCCAGCTACGGAGCGTGGAACGCGGAGTCCACGTTTCCTAGGCAACGCTGGTGGGGCTAGAGACGTCTTCGTGTGCTCTTACGTCATGACGCTACTGTTCGTCCCGCGTTCCGGAGCCTGGGGAGCGGCGGGGGCGGTGCTTGGCCAATCCGAGGGGAGAGTGATACGTATTGAGTGCTGTGTGTCATATTTCTACTGGCCTTACAAGACTAATTTTGTAGATGAAAAACTGAGTTATAATATTTACGGAGTCCTTCGGGTCACACGGCATTGAAGTGGCTTCGAGCCAATTCCCTCGGACTACCCTAGGCCGCAGCCTCAGGCCCCAGTTCCTCCCTCCCCATCTGAAACAGCCCTGGACCCCTTCCTGCCCGGTGCCAAGGGAGTTTTGACGGACGGCCCAGAAGAGTCTCCGGCTTTGTTGCTCAGAGAGGTAACAAGCAGGGAAGAACCTAATCGAGCCGACAGGAATCTGCACGCAAATTCCCTAACTGTATGCGCTCGTGCGCACGCGCGGGCACGCACATGGGCGGGGCCTCGATCTCAGGTCCCGCCCAGCGGTCATGCATTTCCTCTTCCGTTGAAAGGCGGGACCGGGCGCCCGCGGGAAACCTGGGTGAGCGGTGCTCCGTTAAATTCAGCTGCGGGGATGGCGAGGTTGAGGAGCGTGGTCCTGCGGCCGTGGATTCGAGAGCTGGTCCTGGGCTTAGAGCGACTCTCAAGTCCACGGGCCGGGCAGCTGCTTCAGGTGAGCCCCCCAGCCCCTTAGGGCCCGGAGACTGGGGTGGGTCCCCAGGGCGGTGGAATTGACGCCCGTTGCTGTCGTCAGGTGCTGCAGGAGGCAGAAGCCGAGGCCCCAGGCCCGTCCTGCGCCCCTGACAAGTCTGATGTCGGGGCCGCGCTGCTTGTGTCCGACGGGACCCACAGCGTCCGGTGCCTGGTGACGCGGGAAACTCTGGACGCCTCGGACTGGTGAGAAAGGCGCCACAGGACCGTAGAGGATTTGAACCCAGCTGGGCTCGAGGTGGGCGGGCCCCAGGCGGGCGGGACTCAGTTTCCGCCGGCTAGGCTGTGAGGGTCGAGCTCTCCGCAGGGAAGAGAAGGAGTTTGGTTTCCGAGGAGCTGAAGGCCGGCTGCTGCTGCTGCAAGACTGCGAGGTCCGAGTCCAAGTGGCAGAGGGCAGCGCGGTGAGTGGTGAGGCTGGCTTGGGCGGGTTACTTGGCCTGACTCCGTGACAGCCCCTGAGACCCATCCCTGATTTCACCCCTCTAGCCCGCGGAGTTCTACCTGCAGGTGCACCGCTTCAGCCTAATGCCCACGGAGCAGCCCCGGGATTGGGTGATTGGTTGGTAAGTGGTGCCTCCACCCTCCAGCTGTTCTCCCTATCCAGGCCTGGCTGGCGTTGGCATAGGCCAGGGGTGGAGAACCTTTTTTCTGCCAGGGGCCATTTGGATATTTATAATATCATTCGAAGTCCATACAAAATTATCAACTTAAAAATTAGCCTGCTATATTTGATCAGACATTTAATTAACACATTGGGTACCGCATAGAAATCTCGAAGACATACGCCAGGGACCGCACGTTTTTGGGCAAACTGCACGTTATTTAAATCATCATAATGCACTTTAGGTGTTGTTTTTCAATAATTATAACATTTTTATTTACAAAAACAATTAAACAATTAAAGTTCCTAGTACTTTATTAACATATGGTACTGCGTAAAACATTTTCCTCTATGAAGAGGGACCAAACAAAATTTGCATAAGTATCTTTTTCCATGGGCGTGAAAAACGAGAACACTCGTGAGCGGTCCTTAACAGATGGCGCGCGAAACACGAGAAAACTCCTGAGCGGTTCGAAATGTGTTAACTCACCCCTAGTGCCTTGATAGGGCCAGATCAAATGATTTTGTGGGTCTTATATGGCCCGAGGGCCAAATGTTCCCCCACCTCTGGCCTAGGCCTTTTGGGTGAGAGGGCGTGGGTCCTTAGTAACATTGACTGCCTATCACCATCTTTTTCCTAGCAACCAGGACCCAGATGTGCAGAAGAAGCTCAAAGACTGCCTCGAGTGAGTCTAGAATTGGGTTTGGGCCAGGTGTGACTTGGTCAGATGATGGCAAACGTGTTGACAGGCCTCAGGGTTGTTCCTCAGGCCTGTCCCCTCTGTTTCTGTAGGGAGCACCTTTCAGAGTCGGCCTCCTCCAATGCAGGTAAGTGGGGGTTGATCCCAACTCTGTAGAGTGACTTTCCAGCTATGACCTCCTGCTCCTTTAGTAAGCCTCTTCCCCACCCACGCTACCCTTATCTTCAAACTTCAGCCCAACCCTGCCCCCCTGACTCTAGGCCTTTCACTGACCCAGCTTCTGGACGAGGTGCAGGGAGAAGAGGAGCATCAGGGGGCACTAGTGCGCCTGGCTGAGAGCTGTCTGATGCTGTCAGGCCCTTGCACGGCACCCCCGCTCACCCGCTGGGCCACCTCAAGCCACTTGGCCATGGTCAGTCTAGGGCCTCCCTTGGGAAATGTCAGGGTGAGGAGTTTGGCAAGGGCCAGGCTGACAGTTCACTTCCACAGGGAGAAGCTGTGTACACTGTCCCCAGCCTATGGCTACACATCTCTGAGGATGACCAGCAAGTCCTGAACTCTCTGGGCGCAGGTCAGAGGACACAGGGTAAGGACTGGAGAGGTCCCGAGGGGAATATCTGGGGGTCTGGTCCCCACAGTGCTGATAAGCCTTTCCCCTAGGCCCTGAGCTGCCCCCACCAGACCCCGCTCTTCAGGACCTGTCGCTGACCCTGTCCTCCTCGCTTTCCTCACTCAGTTCCTCAGGTAAGGTGGTGCTGAAGCCAAAACACTGCCCGGGCTACACAGGAAGCTATGAAAGGGACGAACATGGCCCCTGGAGACCTGCCTAAGGTCATAGGTCACTCTGCTGGTCTGAGCTGAGAGGGCTATGCTCACAGTGAGTCCCTTCTTCCCCAGGAAACCCTGCCTTATGCAGCCACATGTCATCACAGGAAAGCGGTGCCAGCGTCAGCCTTCTGCCTGCCCTGTCCTTGGCTGCTCCAGACACAGGGCAGAAGGGCAGCTCCCAGTCCCAGCCAGCCATCTGCTCAACCCCCCACCCCCTGCCCCCTAGCTCCCCGCAGCCCAGCCATATAACCAACTCCCCACTCCTGAGTAGTACCCCAAGTCTGTCACCTCTTGGTCACATCCCCAATTCACATCAGGCCGATGTGACCAGGCCCCAGCCCCAGAAACCTAGACTGGAGTTCAAGGAACTAGGGTTGCCCCCCAAGAACTGGCAGCATTCTCCAAGGATAAGAACCACCGAGGGAGTCCTGGAGTCCAGTCCTGTCTGGGTGAGCATAGTCCCCCTACAGCTGGAGGGTAGAATGGGGTGAACCTTGGATAGAGCTGGGAGGAGAGCTGGGGTAGCCTTGGATGGGGTTAGGGGTCCTTCTTGGCCCCTCTCCAGACACCACATCCTCTTCAGGACCCACCAAAGAAGCATCGTGATGGTTCCGCCTTCCAATATAAGTACGCTCCACCCTGCACTTCTCTCTGTGCCCAGGTCCAAGCTGCCAGGTGAGTGCCTGGGGCGGTCCTGCTCTGTGTGGGAAATGTCCGGCCCAGGGGCCGTATAAGGGCCTCGAAATCATTTGGTCTGGCCCTGCCAAGGCCTTAGGGGTGAATTAACTAAATGTCTGGCCACTTATAGCAGGCTAGTTTTTAAGTATAATTTTGTAAGGCCTGAGAATGATGTTATAAATATCCAAATGGCCTTGGTAGAAAAAAGGTTCCCCAAACCCTCACCTACAGCCTTGGTTCTCTTCCCAGGCTCCCTCCCCAGCTCCTGGCCTGGGCCTTGCATTTTCTGATGGAGCCACAGCCGGAATCCGAGCAAACCCAGGTGTGAGGGGTCATGTGACCACGTAGGAGAATGTGTGCATATAGGTCTATGCCTCTGGGTGGACAAACAGTGCTCCACACTCTGCTTTGAGTTTTTTAATAAAATAATCTCATGCGGCAGGAAAGGAGAGGATCAGGGGTTGGGGCCGCCTCTTTGGTCTGTGGTTGGGGAGGGTGGACTCCGCTCAGGGCTGGAGGGCTCTGTATACTGTGGGAGCAGAGGCTCGGCTTCAAGGCCAGATCCTGCAAAAGGAGAGGGGGAGAGAGGAAGGTCAGAATTGGACTGAGCGGTCCTGCCACCCTAACAACCAGTCCAGCCCCTTCTTACCTAGGCTTGGTGACGGGGGTGCCTCAAGCTTTGGCCTTCGCTTGAGGACAGGGGACCGCTGCAGCCTTAAAGGCCGTTCTGAGGGACACAGAAAGGCTGTGGCAGGTTAAGTGCTTGCTGCTTGTCCCACCCCTCTGCCCCCAGTGTGTGCCAGTGCACACACATGCACGCACACGTTGTTGCTCAGAGCCTCCCCTTCCCCTGTGTCCTCCTGCCCGAGCAGAAGTTGCTCTTTTGGAGTTGGAACCTGGACTCATGGGAAGGGCTGTCAGACCCTTGCTCCCTGGCTTCTCACCCCTCACACCACCAGTGGCCCCCTCACCAGAGCCATGAAGGGAGGCCCGGAGCCCACCCTCCTGCACTCAAGCACACAGGGAAGTGTCCCCTCACCAACAGGGGCCTGGAGCTGGTCCTCATGCACAGATACTGCCCGTCGCCCTGCCGAGAGAGGCCTCGGCCTCAGCTGGCCATCTGGGGGAGGCCAGGGTATCAGTGTACGGTCCCAGCAGCTGCCACCACTCCAGCCCTGTCCCCTACCTTCAGGGTCCCCAGAGGAGCTAAATTCCCAGCAGGGACTCCTCCGGCCCCCAGTCCAGTATTGGGGTGGGGGCTAGCATGCCCGTTTACCTTCATTTCTGGGGCCCAAGCAAGGATCCTCTGGGAGGCCCAGGCTGTCTGGGGAGGGACTGGCTTTTCGTGGGCTGGGACAAGGGGAAGGGGGTCCTGGACCATCGTGTGGGCCCCAACCACGGCTCCTAAGCTCTGCATTCAGCTGCTGCCCCAGTGTCTTCCAGGTGGTGGACTCAGGCCCCTGGCCCCCTGGCCCAGGTCTGCATGAGGGGTCTGCAAGGAGAAGAGTTTCAGCCAAGACCTAGGCCAGGCATTGGAAGTGAGCTTGACCTGCGTATTCCCCCACCACACACAGTGGCCCTCACTCACCAGCAGACACGGAGTGGGTGCGGGACTTGATAGAGATGGGAGGGGCCTCCGAGGAACTGTCCATAATGTCCCCTGCAAAGTAGGTCAGGGGGGCTCAGGCAGCAGGCCTTGGGGGTGAGGAGAAGGAAAACCTGGCTTCCCCACCCCTCTCCCAGAACATCCCCCTCCCCCAAAATGTACTGCCCTAGCCCAGGATCTCACCATCTGAGCCAGCTTTCTTGATCTCTCCATCTTTGCTCTGTAGGAAATAGGGAAGTCAAGCTCAGCTGCGCACCACCCTTACCCTAGCCTTGTTCTTATAACTACCACTAAATGTGGGCAACATGCCCTAACCGGTTTGGCTCAGTGAATAGAGCATCAGCCTGTGGACTCCAGGGTCCCAGGTTCGATTCCAGTCAAGGGCATGTACCTTGGTTGTGGGCACATACCCAGTAGGGGGTGTGCAGGAGACAGCTGATCGATGTTTCTCTCTCATCGATGTTTCTAACTCTCTATCCCTCTCCCTTCCTCTCTGTAAAAATATCAATAAAATATATTTAAAAAAAAATAAATGTGGGCAACATGCAAACTCAGTCCTGGCCTTCTTAGAGTTCAAAGTCTGGGGTGGTGGAACACAGACACACACAATGTGATTTCTTAATTCTCTGATTCACTTTCTATAATGTAGTTCTTATTAGGGACTGATCAGAGTGGCATTAGCCAGATAGTGATGGGAGAGTCAGGGAAGGCTCACAGGGAAATGCAGGGATGGATGGAGAGGAGCCTGTATAACCAACCCATGGGTGGTGATGAGCTGGTTCGGGAGGTGCAACCAGGGGTGGAGAGCAGTGAGAAAAGCAGTGACCAGGGCTGAGACCCCACAGGCCCTTGAGGCAGAGTTAGGAGTCAGGGCAGAGGCTTAAGAGAAAGCCCCTAGATGACTTGCTGTTACAAATGTAGGTAACAAGGTCAGATTTCTGTTAGATCTGCAGAGAAAGGACTGTCACACCTCCAAGGAGGAGATAGCAGTGGCCTGGGCCAGGGCCAAAGCCAAGGGGGAAGAAGGGTTCACTATTTTGAGGCGGAGGGGGTGGAACAGACCTGTGTCATGAATCTCCTCCCGGTCACATACGTCACCCACAGCCAGCCACATGGCACCGGCCCCCTCACTTCACACTTGTGTCCCCCCCAAACTCACTTGTTTCCTCTTCCCTTCGGCACTCCCGCTGCCTCTGCTCACGCCAATCCTCTGCAGCATCACTTGTACCCTCTGTTCAAAGGATGGGGTCAGTTCTGTGTCTCCTCGCTCCAGAGGCCGCCTCTGGGGTCAGAGATGCCAGAGTGGGGAGAGAGCCCAGTGCCCGCAGTTCCAGCAGAGCCCTCGCCCCTGTCACCAGGCCTCACCTTGTCAGGTCTGGCACCCAATGCTGCCTCCTCCTCCTCAGCAGGCAGCAGTATCATCGAGTAGGCCTTGCTTTCCCGAGTGTAGCGAGGCCGGCTCCTGCGAGCAGGGTCAGGGCTGCCGGTGCCCCCTTCAGCCCCACCAGGCTCCTCCCCACGGCCAGGGCGGGCCGGTGGCCGCAGTAGGTCCCCAAGTGTGGTTTTTCGAGTGCGGGCAGCTGCCCCAGGGCTGGTCTCTAGATCAGGCCGTGGCCCCCGTGTTGAACGAGGCTTCTTGAAGGCAAAGAGGGTGCCCAGCTTCTTTCGCAGTGTACGGGGGACAGGGGTGGTACCACCCTCGGTGGCTGGGTCCTCCTCAGGGGCCCAGCTGTGGGAACAGCCAACAAACAGTAAGTAGGAAGGCCCATGCAGCAGCCCACCCGCTCCCACCCCCTGCAGCTGCCCCTCACTCACAGGCGATCCTGCTGGATCAGCCTTTTGGAGAAGAATTCTTCCACGCCCTCATCCACTCGGGCACTGAGCCCATTTCCTTCCTGCGGCAACGCTGGGGGCACCTGGGGGACAGTCAGGTGTCAAGGCTGAGTGCAACTGTGAGTTCTTTCCACCTCCCGTGTCCAACAGTCTGCTCTGGGCAATTCCAGGAGCTGGGAGCTGGGATGACCCTAGGGGGCTACCGACATGCAAGCTCTCCCTGTCCAGCTAGTGGGCAAATACACTGATTTCACATACCTCACCCACAGTTGGCCCTGGACACACGCCCGCCCACACCTATTCTTGTCCCAGGGAGTGTCCTACACTTTCTGAACCACCCAGTCACTAGCAGGCTGGAGCCCACGCATCCCCTGGGTCACACGTTCTCACCTGCCACCCCCTCTACTCCAAACAGCTTCCTGCAGCGTCCCCCACCCCCACCCCACCCGGCCTGCTGCTGCTCAGCAGCTCGGGCCTGCTGCGTCAGACCCTCTGGGGGGCCTCAAGCCAGCTCCTCTTCCCCTTCTGCCTGTGCCCACTACCCAGCCAGTACCCGGTCCACACATAAACCTCCCCCCCACACCATCCAGATGTGCAGCAGACACAGGATTGTCCCTGTAGTCAGGGAGCCCAGCACCTCTCAGTAACCCTGAGGGATGTTGGATAAGAGAGCCACCCTTTCTTGGACATCCACCCATACAGCAGGCCAACCTGAGGCAGGGTTGATTCTACACCCAGGTGCACCCTTAACAAAGCCCAAACACCCATGACCCCACATGGGTATGGCCTGGGGTGGGGGGTGGCCAGGAAGAATCCAGGATGTAGCCACATGACCAGGTGATTCTGGGCCTCCACAACCCACCTCCTTGCCCACCATCATCTGAGAAGCAAGCAGGCCACCCGCGACCCCCAATCCCACCCCCTCTGGAGGGGGAGGACCCTCACCTGAGGGCCCCCAGGCGGCGGGCGGTGGTGGTGCTGGCGCCTGGGCCGTGGCCGGGCCCTGGTCGGATGGCGCAGAGGCTGCCCGGAGGGTGGCAGGTCCATGCGAGGCAGCGGGCCGGCAATGGCCCCGGGAGCGGCAGGGCTCGGAGAGCCGCGTGCAGATGGGCCCGCCTGCGGCTCCGCATCCTCTCCAGGAGCCGCCAGCTCGGGCTCCGGTTCCTCAGCAGCACCTGAGGGGAGAGCACCAGAAGAGCACAGAGCACGGAGGAAGGAGCTCAGGGAGGTGGCAGTGGCGGCGCTAAGGCGGCAGGGGACCCGCCCAGGGCGCGGGGAGGGGCCCGGCAACGCCGCCCGCTCCCCTCCCCCCTGCCAGCCCCTCCCTGCCGCTGTCCATGGTGCTGAGCGCGGCCCCGAGCGAGCGGCGCGTCATGCGCGTACTGGGGGGAGGGAAACGGGGGAGCGGGCGGGGGGGGGGGCGGGCGCGAGTGGAGACAGTGTCCAGGCCCTGTTCTGCTCAGGTCCTGCTCCATGCTGACTGACCACAGCAGACCCCAACGTTGCAGGGTGCACGGGTGTCCTGGCCTGGTCCAGGCAAGGGTGAGTTTCCAGGACAACAGGGCTGAATGACTGTGTCCAGGTGTTCAGGTCTAATGGAGCTTCAGCCCAACTGAGTAACTCCCCTTCCCCCAGGCCCTGACTTACTGTGAGTGGAGGGAACCAGGTGCAGACAGGGGCTGGACTCAGGCCATTTCTGTGGAGGACTGTCGTTCTGTTGGGGAGGGCACAAACTAGGCCTGGGGCAAGTGAGCCTCCCCACCTTCCACACTCCAGAACAAGATGGGAAGATCTAGGGTTCCAGGCCCAGAGTTCTGGCAGCACCTACCTTCCGCTCCTCTTCATCCTCCCTTTCCTTCTCCTCAGGGAAGAAAAGGCCTTCCAACTTCCCAGGCCCAAAGGGGGTGGGCTGGCCTTCTTCCAGGGCCAGTGTGGCAGAGGGCATTGCCACTGTTGTCTGCTGAGCCAGACTCTCCACCTGCAATACCAGGCACCCCAGAGATGGGT